GGCCGGCTCCGCCCACTTTGAGCTTCAAAAACTCTCTTCAGAAACCAACGGGTGACGTCACGGACACTACGTCCACGCTTTAATACAGTCTATGTTCAGCCCACATCAGAGATCTTTAACTACTCTCTTTCCAGGACCAGCTTATGTTTTACATAAATGTAAATGGCCATGCTTATTTTCAGTGCAGAACACATATTGAAGTCTCAATTAATTGCCGACTCGGAAAAATGCTCAAAAATATGACCCAAAATACCCTAATAAACCAAAGGGAAAATTTCACAGACATTTTCCAACACGTCATTTTTTTTCCCCCCTTGCAAAAACTGGGTCCCGTACAGGATCTTTCTGCAGGAGAGATTCAAGACAAGCTGTATCAGTCAACATCAGGTGAAGCACAACAGACAAATTAGAACATCTATCACTTACAACTAACTACACACACACACACACTGCTGTTTCCCACACACATGCATAGACACCAGAGGACACAGATCCACTTCCAGAGTCTGTGCCCCGGTAGCACAATAGTCTTGGCCTCGCAGGTTGGCTTTTCTCAGGCCCAGTGTCTGAATCAGCAAGCGATACTTTGAATCGCTAGCCGTACTGATTGGGAAGGAGAATAACTGATGAAAGTGAGAGAATCGGAGTAAAGCAGAGAGGAGAGCGGGTTCAGCTGGAGTTCAGGTGTATTCTCAGATGACTTTATTTCTGCACACAGGCTGCTGATAAGCATGTTTATCGAGCAGACAAAAGGACAGTGAGGATCCTGTTGCTTCAGTTTAAACCTGTTCTCCATGTTCATGTGCTGGCGACGGGGCGCCAGCCTGGCTCTAAATGAAGCAACAAAATGCAATACAGGCATAAACGGTGCAGTCTCTTACAGCGAATTTGTAATCCTATGGATTCCAACATATTTGACCAATGCATTTCCATTTTTTAAAGATGTTTATGATTTAGTAAACATCTTTTTTTTTTTTAATTCAGACTGATTCACTGATGAATCACTTAGATTCTGTCTGATTTTGATGCTTTAAAAAATGAACCAACTCATAAGACTGATTCACCAACAAATCAGACATTACTGTGACTTTTCAAGCAAATTCTGCTCTGCACAAAAGCAAGTTAGCCAGCTAAATATTTGAAAAATTAATAGTAATAAAATGTCCTTAACCTTTCCAAGCTTAGAAAACACTAATTATATTAATAATTTACTAAATAAATGCAACAAAACCACACAGAAAATGTGTATTTCAGATAGCTAAGAAATTGAGTCAGTAAACTGAAGTCAACTCTTGATTTAATACACATTTTCTCTTCATTTCCTGTGCTTGAAAGATGTGTATGACATAAATATTTCTTTCGTTACTAAACCGTAAATATTTAAATATAATTGTGATGAATATAAAATGTTATATGAATAAATATGAATTAAGTTCTCATTCATTCTTTTAAATATAAAACAAAAATCAAAATTAATTTAATTCAAAAAAATTTCAACCATTCAAGATTAATATAGAAAATATTTACATATAAATAAATTATGTGAAGCTGTTAGTATTTAAACAACTAACTATATATATATATATATATTATTATTATTATTTTTTTTTTTTGAAAAGGACGAACAGAATTGAAAATCAAGGTTCCCAGACATTTGGTCAATGAATTTCATGACTTTTCCAATCATTTGTCATTACGGAGTACAGATTACACTCACAAAAGAACAAATCTTCAGTCGATTAAATATTTTAGAACTGCAAAACAAATAGGAATATTAATTTACTATAGACATTTTTTAAAGGATTACCATTACTTTTTCCAGTCCCTGATATTTCCAGGTTTCCCACGATGGTGCAATTCTTAAGCACGATTGATCAAACTTGATCGATCAAACACAACCTGCCTCAAAAACTTGACAAGCTACCAAAGTGCTGTAAATGGAGATATTTTTCAGCTTAAACAGCAACCTAGTCATCTTAATGTGTGTACTTGCAAGGGAACCAGTGGTTAATGAAGCATAGATGTAGACCTTTGACTTCAGCTATGTAATCCTCACTCAACCCCATATCAAAACACACACTAATCTCTGCATGTACGACATGAAGCTCACCAGAATGCTCCATTCATGCTGTCCTCATCAGAGTTCAGACAACACACGGTGCAGTAAGTGCCTGGATGCTCGGCTGGTCAGGTGAAACCGCATCTCCGGCCCGCGGGGGCTTTTCATAGTTCTGTGCGCTAGCTACAGTTACACACCGGCAGGCTGATAACAAGACTCGACTTTCAGGAGCACTCATGTGTGCCGCAGGTGTCCGAGGACAGTGGCGTCAGAGAGCTAATGATGAGAGACAGACCGACGGAGAAGCCTTGCCCGTTTCCCTGAGTTTAAACACTTAGTTCAGACTTAAAAGATTTGTTCACCCCAAAATGAAAAGTTACTGAAAATCTACTCACACTCAGGGCATGCAAGATGTAGATGAGTTTGTTTCTTCGTCAAAACAGATTTGGAGAAATTTAGTATTACATCACTTGTTCACCAATGGATCCTCTGCAGTGAAAGGGTGCCGTCAGAATGAGAGTCCAAACAGCTGATAAAAACATCACAATAATCCACACCACTCCAGTCCATCAGTTAATGTCTTGTGAAGAAAAAAGCTGCGTGTTTGTAAGAAACTAATCCATCATTAAGGTGTTTTAACTTTAACCTTTTGCCAAAGTACAAGTCCATAATCCATAATAAAACTCTCTGTTGTCTCTCACATCAAAATCCACCAACATTTGTTTAGAACTGTTTTTGCTTGTAAATTATGCATGATCTGTGCATATTTCTCTCCTGATTTAGACGAGATGACTTTTAGGACTCATATTTTAGCCAGAAGTGACAGCTTAAAGTTAAAATGTCTTATGATGGATTTGTTTCTTATAAACTCTCAGCTTTTTTCTTCACTAGATGTTAACTGATGGACTGGAGTGGTGTGGGTTACTTGTGGATTATTGTGATGTTTTTATCAGCTGTTTGGACTCTCATTCTGACGGCACCCATTCACTGCAGAGGACCCACTGCTGAGCAAGTGATGTAATGCTACATTTCTCCAAATCTGTTCTGATGAAGAAACAAACTCATCTAAATTTTGAATGGCCTGAGGGTGAGTACATTTTCAGGAAATTTTCATTTTTGGGTGAACTATTCCTTTAAATATGTGCTTGGTTGAATCTGAAAATGCAAATAACAATATATGTTTAAAAGAAGAAGAACCAGCCAAAAGAGCAATAAATATTTATATTAATTGCACCCATAACTTTTCCACTTTTTACTTGTGAAAAGATCTATGACTAATCTTCTTAAAACACCTAAATTAATGTTCCATGATTGTGGGAACCTGAAAATAAATGTATTATAAGTGTCAGCGTGGTCATCAATCTGCAGCTCTTGATATGACTTGTATAACACTTAGATAAAAATCAGTTAGATAAAAAGATGAAAAATCCAGAATATTTTTATTAAAGTTATTTATTATTGCCTTAATTACATTTACAATTCCAACTCAATAAATATTATACACTCACTCACTTTAGGTCACTTTAATATTCTGGGCTTCTTCTTTTAGACTCATAAAAGGACAAAAACAATCAAATCAACCAACCAACATTTTTTACATTTCTTCTACATCATTATACATTTTAAAAAAATTAACAAGAGTGATTTACTTTAAGTAATGTGAACATTTTTTAAACAAATTAAAGAAAAATATGTATTATACTATTTACATAAAATCTGAATAAAAGTGACAGCTACTCCTGATTTTTAGTAATGACCAGTGGGGATCTATTGAGAAGGTCAGCATACATGTTTATCAGAACAACTGTTGATCTAGGATCTCTGATGCCCAAACAGGCATAATACTAAACATATGTCCTTGGATCAACATTTCTTTTTTGAGCAGTCAAATGTTCTACTCATAAGAATGACCCTTAAAACAACAAAAAAACAAGTTCCTAAAGAGTTTCGGTAACACCTTGTCCATGAACAAGTGGCATGATGTGGGAAAATTAAATGTGCTTCCATTATAATCCAAGAAACGGCAAAGATGTGTTGCTTATAATGGCAATAGTTCTAGTTGCGGTGTAGACAAAGTGTAACTCTTTATACACGCATATACCTGTTTTGTTGTGTGTCTCCATAGCATCAGTGAATCAGACAAGAGCTCTAAGGTTCTGATTGGCCAGCATCCTGAGTCTCTGCCTCTCCACAGCCTGCTGCTTCTTCGCCTCAATTTCAGCATCACTGCACCTCACGGCTCCAGAGTTACACACATCTACAGAAAAACACAGTCAGTAAATATCATTTATTTTGGAAACCTTGACGCAAGCGAGAAATGTAATGAATATAATGCCAAGATCTAGGATTTTTAATTAAATAAATGTTAAATGACTTTTTTTTTTTCTTTTTAATTATTTAACAGATCTAGGACCAACAGTACCATTCAAGTTTTTTGGGGGAAAAAAACAAATGGATACTTTTGTTCAGTAAGGAGGCAATAAATTGGTCTTAAAGGGGTCATATGATGCGATTTAAATTTTTCCTTTCTCTTTGGAGTGTTACAAGCTCTTGGTGCATAAAGAAGATCTGTAAAGTTGCAAAGACTAAAGTCTCAAATCCAAAGAGATTCTTTATAAAAGTGAAGAGTCAGTCACACCCACCTAAAACGGCTTGTTCTAACACGCCCCCACATATCTACGTCACAATGGGGGAAGATTTGCATAACGCCGCCCAAATGTTCACGCAAAGAAAGAAGGTGTAACTTTTATTCTCGCTGTAGTATTGTTGCCGCCGCCGCCATGTCGTGAAGGCGCTGTGTGTTTCGTTGTGAAAGTGAAACTACTTTGTTTGGTCTTCCAAAAGAGGACGATATCCGCTTCGTCATGCCTAGAGCTGATCTGTGCTGGTCACTGAGGAAATACATCAACTTGCTTCCATTATAATCCAAGAAACGGCAAAGATGTGTTGCTTATAATGGCAATAGTTCTAGTTGCGGTGTAGACAAAGTGTAACTCTTTATACACGCATATACCTGTTTTGTTGTGTGTCTCCATAGCATCAGTGAATCAGACAAGAGCTCTAAGGTTCTGATTGGCCAGCATCCTGAGTCTCTGCCTCTCCACAGCCTGCTGCTTCTTCGCCTCAATTTCAGCATCACTGCACCTCACGGCTCCAGAGTTACACACATCTACAGAAAAACACAGTCAGTAAATATCATTTATTTTGGAAACCTTGACGCAAGCGAGAAATGTAATGAATATAATGCCAAGATCTAGGATTTTTAATTAAATAAATGTTAAATGACTTTTTTTTTTTCTTTTTAATTATTTAACAGATCTAGGACCAACAGTACCATTCAAGTTTTTTGGGGGAAAAAAACAAATGAATACTTTTGTTCAGTAAGGAGGCAATAAATTGGTCTTAAAGGGGTCATATGATGCGATTTAAATTTTTCCTTTCTCTTTGGAGTGTTACAAGCTCTTGGTGCATAAAGAAGATCTGTAAAGTTGCAAAGACTAAAGTCTCAAATCCAAAGAGATTCTTTATAAAAGTGAAGAGTCAGTCACACCCACCTAAAACGGCTTGTTCTAACACGCCCCCACATATCTACGTCACAATGGGGGAAGATTTGCATAACGCCGCCCAAATGTTCACGCAAAGAAAGAAGGTGTAACTTTTATTCTCGCTGTAGTATTGTTGCCGCCGCCGCCATGTCGTGAAGGCGCTGTGTGTTTCGTTGTGAAAGTGAAACTACTTTGTTTGGTCTTCCAAAAGAGGACGATATCTGCTTCGTCATGCCT